ATATTTATGTAATAATATCATTGCTTCCACATGTCATTCCAACTATGTGTAATAATTGACCCTTCAGATGTAGTTTCCAGCCATTTGTGAAGAGCCTTAACCTTCGTAGGATCCACTTCTCGATAAGGATCATATGCATCAACGTTCAACAACTTTCTCCTCTTTGACGGGTCCGTGAAGGGAGAACACAATAAGCGTGCTTTTCTCTTTGGACGATACCCTCGTCCTTTTGGTGATTTACATCCTACCTCCTCAATTTGTACACTGTCACCTATATGTTGCAAGTACCAACAATTACAAATCTAGAATTTGTTTAATTTGGAAGTAATATTATGACGATGAACATCAATTTGTTTTTTACATACCTTGAGTGGATTCTTTCACATCCACCTCATGTTTCTCAAGCGTCACAAAATCAGCGATACCTTTCTCTATGTTGGGATGCTCATCATCTACCATTGTTTCTTGTTCAACACCTTCTTCGACCATTTTTTCCCTTTCTTGCATTCATAACGATATGGACATCGTTCCTGTAACCAAAAACGACTTCAATATCGTTTCAATATGAAAAACACACTGCTTCACTAATCGTCATAACAATATTGAGATGTTCCCGTAACAAAAAAAGGACTTTCCAGGAAATTGTTTCCTTTTATTCAAAACGATATATATATCGTTTCATCTAAAATCATAACAAAAACGATATCAAAGTAGTTTCCTTTCATTCAAAACGATATTCATATCGTTCTAGCGTTACACTTCAGATAACAATTCAAACGACTTAGATATCGTTTTAGTTCAGTAATAGAACGATATCCATATCGTTTCCTCGAAAATCATAACTAAAACGATATCAAATTCGTTTCCTTTCATTAAAAACGAATTGCATATCGTTATAGCATTACACTTCAAATAACAACTCAAACGAATTTCATATCGTTTCCTTTCATTAAAAACGGGATCCGTATCATTTCATCTAAAATCATAACTAAAACGACACTTATATCGTTTCCCTTCATATAAAACGATAATGGTATCGTTGTAGTGTTAAATCAAAGAAATAAAGTAACGACATCCATGTCGTTTGAGAACAAATTTGACGAATTTGAACTCGTTTCAGATGAAATCGTGACTAAAACGACTTCACAATCGTTCCTTTACGTTTGAAACGCCATCCATATCGTTTCGATTAGAAACGACGATTTAATCATCCACGACCACCTGACATACATCCATACACAATCGTTCCTTTACGTTTGAAATGACATCCATATCGTTTCGATTAGAAATGACGATTCAATCATCCACGACCACCCGACATACATCCATCGTACGTAAGACAATAAAAATAAGACACTATGCGAATTCGATTTCGCTTAACGTAATTAATTGGAGCATTTGTGTTCTATTGTTGTCTATCACCTTTGAGGGCATAAGATAGAATGAAAGTGTCTCCGTTCGTACTTTCTGAACCATTTGATTGTTATCAACTCACTCGATGCCCTCTTTCGATCATCATATATATATTGACGGTATGTTGAATGATCGTGGACAGTCGAATTGTTTGGTATGAAAGAAAACGACTTCAGTGTCGTTTTAGTTATGATTTTCACTGGAACGAGTACATTATCGTTATTACGATACCAATGTCGTTATTGTCATTATTTGAATTGTAACGATTTCTAACTCGTAACATTTGTACTAAAACGATATTGATATCGTTATGTAATTTTCTGTGTTTTGCACTATAACGATATCGTTGTCGTGTTAGTACAGAGAAACGACATCGAAAGCGTTTTAGTTACAATTTCATCGGAAATGAGTTCAAACTCGTCAAATTTGTTCTCAAACGACATGGATGTCGTTACTTTATTTTTTTTGATTTAACACTACAACGATACCATTATCGTTTTATATGAAGGGAAACGATATAAGCGTCGTTTTAGTTATGATTTTTGATGAAACGATACGGATCCCTTTTTAATGAAAGGAAACGATACGAAATTTGTTTGAGTTGTTATTTGAAGTGTAACGCTATAACGATATGCATATCGTTTTTAATATAAGGAAAATAAATCGATATCGTTTTAGTTATGATTTTAGAGGAAACGATATGGATATCGTTGTTACTGAAAGAAAACGATATCAAATTCGTTTGAATTGTTATCTGAAGTGTAACGCTATAACGATATGCATATCGTTTTGAATGTAAGGAAACGAAACTGATATCGTTTTAGTTATGATTTTAGAGGAAACGATATGAAATTCGTTTGAGTTGTTTTTTGTAGTGTAATACTGAAACGATATGGAAATCGTTTTCGTTTTTCAGGAACGATTTCAATATCGTTTCAATTACACGTGTAATTTTTGAAAGGAAACGACATCAATATCGTTTTTCGACACAGAAATGATATCCATGTCATTATGAAAATCAGAGAAGCAGTATGTATTTTACGCTGAAACGATATCGAAATCGTTTTCTTTTTTCAGGAACGATTTCAATCTCGTTTCCATAATTCGTGCAATTTTTGAATGCTTTTGTACTTGAACGGCATGAAATATTTAAACTTAAAAGATAGGTAAATGTCAATTACAATTATCAAAATGCACTAACTAATAGTTAGGCAACATCCTAGAAATATCGACATTTATAGGAGTAGCAACTATTCCAGCAAAAAGAACCAGGTCCAGCCACAAAATATTTTGAAAATATCAATACATCTAACAAAACACAATCTAAGGCTTGAAGTTCCAAGCCAACAACTTTGCAGCCAATTTCTTCCGCCATATTGGTACAAAATCCACTCGAATTGCATTTACGTCCATATTCGCTTGCAGAAATTCTATGTATTTCAGTGTGAAAATTCCGCAATCAGATCTACAAAATACTTGTGTAGTTATTATATCCATTTTAAACAGTTCAAATAATATAATACCATCAATTATGAAATTAGTCAATCTTACCCATTCAATTGTTGGGGAACGTCTCCCACTTTCAAATTCGAACTTTTCCGTGCTGTAGTTGTCATCACTTGTGCCATGAAATTTGATCAGTAACGGAATAACCTTTTGTAGAGGCTAAATATAAGATTCCAACGCTGCCCGACGAATGTGACCTTTCAGACTGTCGAAAATAGAAATAGTTTCCCTTCGTTCCTCCAAGTTGATTTGAATTGCGAACCAATGGCTGCCGGTAAAGCAAGGTATATACAAATATCTGCAGTCCTTCCAAGGTTTACCGAGCTCTGGAGTAGTCCCTCTCACGTAATTGATAAGACTCTTACTAAAACTGAGCTCTTTACTCAATTGCAACTGGCCATGTGCATTGACAACAAATTGATAGAAGAAAGTATCCAATATGCAACAATCTTGTCGAAATAAGTTAGGAAAATTGAAAGCCCTTTCTCGTATCTGGTATAGGGCCTCGTTCATAATCTGAATAGAGGAACTAGTTAATACAAACTGAAATCATGTGTAGCATTATTGTAAAATCATTAAAGTTGTATTACTTACATTGCCAGTAATCCAACCATCCTCATTCAAAAGGTCCACCAAATTTATTGCTGGAACATTGTAAAAGCGCAAAGGTACAATACTGCACATACAACATCCACACAAAGTTATATTTATGTAATAATATCATTGCTTCCACATGTCATTCCAACTATGTGTAATAATTGACCTTTCAGATGTAGTTTCCAGCCATTTGTGAAGAGCCTCAACCTTCATAGGATCCACTTCTCGATAAGGATCATATGCATCAACGTCCGAAAACTTTCTCCTCTTTGACGGGTCCGTGAAGGGAGAACACAATAAGCGTGCTTTTCTCTTTGGACGATACCCTCGTCCTTTTGGTGATTCACATCCTACCTCCTCAATTTGTACACTGTCACCTATGTGTTGCAAGTACCAACAATTACAAATCTAGAATTTGTTTAATTTGGAAGAAATAATATGAAGATGAACATCAATTTGTTTTTTACATACCTTGAGTGGAATCTTTCACATCCGCCTCATGTTTCTCAGGCGTCACAAAATCAGCGATACTTTTCTCTACGTTGGGATGCTCATCATCTACCATTGTTTCTTGTTCAACACCTTCTTCGACCTTTTTTTCCCTTTCTTGCTCATTCATATCATCTTTAGATCCAATCTCAGCTCCTTTCCCTTGTACATTCTTTCTTCTGACCTCATCTTCTAACTTCGGGTCCTTCTCAAACTCTTCCATATTTCTTTCACCTACAGGCACATCCGTCACATCATCAAATCCAGCCTCCTTTTCCAACCCACCCTTTTGTTCATATTCTGGTACATAAGTTGTGCTACTCGTTGCACCATCAAATCCACTCGTCGCCGAATGGAATCGACCCGCCACAGCTAATTCAAGCAACCTGTCAACTTTTTTCTCCACCCGATCAAGTCGAGTTGATATGACTTCTTGTAGCCTTCCCTCAAGTTTTTCCATTTCCGCTCTCAATAAATCCACTATGCTGATGTCATGAGATACCGGTCGTGGTTGAGATGCTCCAGGAGAGTGTTGGTGGAATGCATGATGTGGCTCGGCATCATGCTCAGCCTCATCTCCTTCGGAATGGTGTGAACTGCTCTCATCTTCTCCCACAATCGGCGTCTTTCCAGTATGCTGCCTCGAGTTCAAGTTCAATGAGAATCAATTTAGAATGAACCTCCAACTGCAAATATTAAATCGTACAAATCATTAGTCATTCGCTAAGCTAATTCCACAATTAGTTTTATTAAACTTTAAAGAAATGGCAATTTACCTCTCTGGATTTCAACACATTATCAATGGCGGCAGACGCTAATCTCTTCGGCATTTCCCAAGCGACCATTCTTGGGATTGCATCCGGATAATTCGTAGCAAACATCTTTCCCAATATTAGAATCGCCTCGAATGCCCAAATCTATTGTTAAACAAACATTATTATCTCATGGCACAAATTTATATATAAGAAATAATACAAGTCAAGTGTATAGTTTTTTTATACCATTATAGCGAGTGGAAAGCCGTGCAATGAATACCGACAACGTGACTCTCCTTTGACATCCAAAATTTTCAATTTACCTCCCATTTCACGTTTAAATACATTCATCGTGTATTCAAATGAAAACTTTCCCCATGGATACTTCTCAAACCTATCCAGATCATCTACCAAGTCCAACCACCATAATTCGATGAAAGTGTTTTCCTCCTTAGCCCACAAGACGTACGCCAAGATTACGACCAATCCCAATTTATACTTATCGCTCTTTCTTTTCTTGCAACATATAAATGCATTGTAAGCATCTCCCTTCGTAATCTTCCCTACACTTTTCTTGAAATATTCTTTCAAAATCCGACATTCCGCCCCCAATGTCTCGTCTACATTGTCATCATTACCAGCAATGAAACCCGTCACCAGAACAAATTCTTCCAATCCAAATCTTGTCCGTTTTCCTCCTATTTTAAACCACACTTCTTCTTTTTTTCCGGTCTTCAACTTCCTCAATAATAATTGATGTATAATTTGTGAAGCTAGCCTTATATCCCTTAATCTAAGGAGAGATCCAAAACAGCTCTCGCGGAGCTTTTTTTGGTAATTTGTGTCTAGCTTTTCCCATACATCATGTACGATCTGCAGTCTACATCTTGTTGTAATTGTGGCATCGACTTGAGTCTTTTCCATTGCACTGCAAATTATAAAACATATACAAATTATGAACGAATTATGAAACTTATAGTATGAAATTTAGTTGATGCAAAATACAAATATAACCAATGGATCACAGAAAACTTTAAAATTGGCTACTATACGGGGACAACTTCACGTGTGATTTGCATGCTTAACTGATCCCCTCATTCCAGAAAGAATATAGGTGAATTGAAAACAATATCCTCAACAATCTCATCAATGCAGCATCACAGCCTACATCACGCATAAACTCAACAACCTCATCAACTAGCAACAATAACCTCTACAACCTCATCAATTTCAACATCACAACCTACATCACACATAGCCTCATTTGAAAGAATCAATTCAGACTTCTGGGTGTTAATTCGAACTATAGGATGCTAGCCTATCAAGTTACTAATCTCAATTCATGATCCCCTAATCGAAATAAACATTTTCAGTAGCATAGATTCATCAATTTCGTCATTATTGCATTTTCGCACAAAGCTCTTAACAGCTAATCTGTGCAATTGATTGAGCCCAGATGATTGGAACAAATTGTGGCCTTGGTTAAGGCATGTTCAATCGACCGGTGTAGGTCCGATGTCATGGGTGTGGCCGGAAGTTCAGATTCCGACAGGTTTGGATTAGGGAAATTAATAACTCATTACAGACAAAATTCAATTTTCAAAAGAAAATGGTGTAAGCTTTCGCAGGCTTACCTCAGAGAAATGGAGATGGAGACTGGTACAACTGGCGAATTTTAGAAATGTCGACGGAGATAGACTTTGTGGTACAATTCTTGAAGGTGGCGGCTAGAATCGGAGATGGAGATGGAGAAGTTCCCGTGTGAGCAATGGAGATGACGGCAGGGAGATGATTGAAACCGTAGTATGAAACTCGTGTAATTTGGAGGTCAGTTGATTTGAATTAGAAGGAGATGAGGAAAACTCCTTTTTGGAGGAAGAAATAGACCAGATCATTTGATTTATAAGATAAGGGTAAATGGGTGTTTTAACAGTTTTAAATAATTAAAATTACTTTTCTTTTATTCATTTCAGTCGTATTTGGACAAAATGTTTGTGAGGATAGGATATTTGAACTCATTCCCCCAAATAAAAATAAGTAAATGAAATTAAAAATTAAAAGATAAAAAAACACAGTTTTCTTCCTAATCCTCTGCTCCCTCCGGACTCAAACCACCACCAGAACCCGCTCCCGCTCCCGCCAGCCCCCACCCCAGCACCGGCAGTTAATCTCAAATCTCCGTATTATCCCCCACTCTCTCAGCAGCACTGCAAGCAAGATTCGCCATCTCTTTCTTTTCGGTAACAACAGTATCCCCTTTTCTCTTTTACACACACTCGGGGATATCTTAGATACAGTTTTCTGTGTGTATGCTCTTCATTTTTATTTCTCACTTTATATGGCTCTTGATCTGCATTTAAATTCCTCTTTTGTATTTAAATATTTTTTATCTAGTTTTGATCGAATGGATATGTTCCATTATTCATCAGATCTGGGGTCCAATATTCGGTTCTAAATCCTCGAGAATTTAATAGACAAGAAAATGAATGTATATTCATTGTAGTTAATTGTTTTAATTCTTAATTGATTCTGTTAAATTTTTTTCCATATACATGTCTTGGACGTATGATGAATTTGTTCAATCGCTTGAAATAAAATCAAGCATCAGCATCCGTTCGAGAAATTGAAGTTTTAAAATAGTGTTTTCCTGATTTTCAATTGCAAGCTACTCACGCTTAGAAAAGATGTAGGCCTTACGGAATTACAAATTGTTCTGAAATTGACTGATATTCCATGACATTCCACAGAAAATATCCACTGACTTTCTCAACATTCTTGTATTATTCTAGAATTTGACTTAAAAGACGACTTAATATTTTTCACTCAAAGGTTTTTAACAAGGATTCATTTCATTTAAAGTCATTGAGTACAATGACCTCGAGAACCTAGAACTTGATGATGAACACACGATCATATCACACATTGTGTTAAGTCCTAGCAATTTGAGTCTTTATGATGCACTAGTGGACGTAGATTCTATGACGGTCAAGATGTAACGATCGTATAATAAGCTTTATCTCCACAGATGAAACTTAGGGGAGTAGAAAAGGCCCAAAATATTGTCCCAACAGGGTGTAGATTTGTGAAGCACATTCAATATTGTTTTGTTTTTACCTTATCGATATAGTATTTATCATTTATCTTCTTAAGACAACCTTGCGAGCTAACTTCTCCAAAAACGAAAATCTAATCTTAGGTTTTTGAGTTCTAACAACGGCAAAAATGGCCAAACTTAGGGGTGTAGAAAAGGCCAAAAAAATCGTCTCAAAAGGTAGTTATTTGAAGCACTCTATTCAACATTGTTTTGCCTTTACCTTGTCCATATCTACTTACACTTGTCTTCTGAAGGGAACCTTGCATGCAAAATTCTAAAAGAAAAAAAAAAAGAAAAAAAAAAAAATCCCTTCTTGGGTTTTTGAGTTCTAACAAGTGTATGTCTTTACACAAATTGTGTGTCTTTTAGTATCCAGAGGGTTTGGTTGTAACATCATGTGGTGATAGGACTTATATATTTGTCAAGGTTTATTGAACATCTACACATCACTAACTACGTATCCTCTCCTTTAATTCCAGACAATCCTGTCTTCTAGCGTTTGATAAAAAATTGAAGTCTCACATATCAAAGTGAGATGCGTTTATAGTAAAAATTCTTCTCAAAGGTCCTTAAATATAGGTTTTCATTATAAGTCATCTTGGGATCAGAGGAACTCAGCGAGGAGGTGTGGAAATAATCATTTTAATTGAAAGAATCATGACTCCACATGCCTCATGTTGATCTAGCAATGATTTTTTTTGGTCAATAAACTTTTTCTTACAGTAATAACTCATCTCAATCTATTATGTATGAATGAATTGTTTATATAATGTTCAATTTTCAGTTAAAATGCTATCATTTAGAAGGTTTTGAGTTAAATAAACCAAAGAAATTAATGTGTAACAACATAACTCTCAAACTTTGGTGGGTTGCAACAATTATTTGCTGAAACGTTTACTAAAGATCTCCAGCTGGTCTATTCCTCTTTGGTACACCACAGCTCCATTTTTCTTTGGCGCCGCTCTCTTCGACAGCACTAACTGAGTCTCTGGTCGCACTAAGCAAGCAAGAAAGCAAAAATGGCTGCGATCTACAGCCTCTACATCATCAACAAATCCGGAGGCCTCATTTTCTACAAGGTAAGTTTACCCAAGCACACCTTCCCACACATGTCCCTTTTATATTTCGTATTTTGATGTCTAAGTAATCAAGAAAGTTGCATAATGCATTCTTTAGGATTATGGGTCAGCAGGAAGAATGGACACCAATGACAGCTTGAGACTTGCGAGTCTATGGCACTCGATGCACGCCATCTCTCAGCAGCTCTCTCCTGTATCTGGATGTACAGGAATCGAGCTCCTCCAGGCTGATACCTTTGATCTCCATTGTTTTCAGTCTCTCACTGGTACTGAAGTTCCTTTTTCCTGCCTCATGTTTTCTATTTTAACAATCTGCTGCATTTCTCGTAATGTTTATTGTGATTATGTTTCTGGACTTTGTATGTATGTGGGCTCTTAAAATTTTGATAGAATTCCTGGGCTTAGTCAGAGGAAAAAAAAAATACCTATATAAGCAACAATGTTGTAGATTTTAATTGAAAGAAAATCAAAGGTATACAAGGAAAGGGGGACAGTGAAAATTTATAGGATTTGGTGAACGCTCAATGCTGTTCTATGTGACTCTAATCAGTGGAAAATGACAAGTTTTTATGATCTTGGGAAGTATAGCACATGGATTCAAGTTTGCTAATGTTTTAACCTATTCCTCATCAGTTGATAAGTTAAACCCCTTATAATCTAAATTGAAAAAGTTCTAATGCTAGCTTACGAGCTATATTCCGGTCTTCATCACTGTTTATGTTCAAGCACATAATGAACTTCTGAAAATATATTGACTTGATGGCCTCGTTAGGTTAATGAGTTATCTTTCTGATTCTGAACCAGCTACTTAGCTAATTCTTAATTGCAAAGTGAAAGGAGTTGTGTAACATAAAGTAGTTAGTTGTCCGTCGTTGGTTAGCAAGAGGCTCTTGACTCCTTGATATGTGACAATCTAATACTCATGCTGGGGACATGCCCTTTGAATGCCCTGCAATTTCAATAAACCATAGCACCACTAAGCTTACAGCAAGGCTCTGACTCCTTGATATGTGACAATCTAATACTCATGCTGGGGACATGCCCTTTGAATGCCCTGCAATTTCAATAAACCATAGCACCACCAAGCTTACAGCAAGGTGGAAAGTTGCTGGTGATTGTGTGGTGTTAGTCTATTGGTCAGAATGAGGCAAAATTTGGGATAGCAACAGCTTAATAGGACATGATGGGATTATCGAAACTGGACAACATTCAATATCTATAGGTCAATCTTTTAATTATGTTCTTGAATTAATTTGTATTCTGTCCTCATCTACGCTATTAATGCTTTGGCCATTTTTTGTTTCATCATCTTAATTGGTCTTTCATTCTCATCTTGTATCCTCTCCTTATGTCGTGCTTTGTCCAAGCATAAATGGTAATAAATGCAAGTTGGATAGATTGCATATCTTTCATTCCCAACTAATAGTTTAAAATCACCGTCATTTATATTTTGGGCAAGTGAAGATCTAACCCCTCTGTAATTGCTTGAATTTTTGCCTTGGGTTTGCACACGGACATCTCCGTTTGATGATGCATGGAACTCCAATAAAACTGTTTCCAAAGCCTGTGCCTAGTCAGCCTCTATACTCCTTAGGCTTTTCAGACTTGGTGAAATTGCATGATTTGACATGAGGAATATGTGCATAGTCTTTTACAGAGTTCCAAGGAGCTGTTCTGGGTTTTTCTGATCATTCACCAACCTGGATCTCAGACATAAAGTTAAGCAAAATCTTAATTTTGTGATTATGAAA